ACTGTGTTGGATTCGTTCAAGGAGTTCAGTACATGCTGCGGCGGCTGTACAGGTCGATAAAGATAGTAGTGACAAACGCAGACCATCCCCTTGGTGTCCGACACCACTATAAGATCTAGGGAACAATCGTGGACTCGCAGGGGTATCACGTCATCTTCGTAAGTCCCGCAACTAGAGGACGGCGACAGTAGCGGTAAGTTTAATGGGATATTCAGCTAAAAAGATACAATAAGTTTTACGCTAATACGACGCCATGCATTTTGCTACGAAGTTTAATTAGCAAGCATACGAGATATATTTAAATTATTCGGCGTATTAACCAATTTGGCACAAAATCTATATTATGTAGATTCAATAGACAGTTAGTAAAAGATACATAGATTAATAATTTGGATAGATGATATAAATTCTTGTTGTTCTTATTAAATGCTCACCACTGTTTCATGAGGCAAGTCATCATGAAACTGAAGACCACTGAGGGTTGGTTTAGAAGACCTGGAATTATTATCGTCCTCATTTTCAGTGACCACGCTTGCAGGAATTCGTCGATGATGTATATGGTAAAGGACTTGATTAATCATATCCCATTGAGCCCATATAAACGTTTTTACAAGTATTTCGGATTTCAGTTCCTTTATCGGTCTTGAGTGGCTTACAGGTGTATCGAATTGAGTAGTATATGTCAGAATACCTTAAAATAACACACAAATTACAAAGATATGTCAATGATTACAAATAAAATAGATGCTCAAACTATGTATTTTAACTTCATATTAAAAAATTATATTTTTTTACAAATGGTAGTAAAATTACAATAATAGTAAAACAAACAAAACAACAATATATTCTACTCACATTCGTGATGTATCAGAACTAGAAATTTGTCTACACCCAGTTGCTCTTTTTCTCTATATAGAAATTGTATTCGCACTTGTTCAGATCTCTTTATTTTCAGATCGTGTACTTTGGTATCGTCAGTACTTAATTCTACAATGAATACTCTGTAGAATTCTCCATAGAATTCATCCTCTGAGCAGCGATCTTCCAGAGGATCTGACGTCTTCAGGCAATTTTTCTGTTTCGTCACATATCCCATTAGAGTATGACTTTGGTTGACCGTAGCTTGAACAATGTTCAGTATTTCCGAAAAGCGGTGTAGTACCTATAATCCAATCAATATTAAAATGACTCATGTGGCAAAAGATTCTTTTTTTTTCATGGTTCTTACCTGTAATTTGTTGTCAATCTGGTCGTAACGACCGACTACAGTACATGATGTGCATACATCGTTCCTCTCTGATTCTTCCACCCATCCAATAAGTATCGAACCGTCTTTCTCTTGTCCAAGTAACTTCCATTGTTCGGCTGAGGAAATAAGAGTTCTTTTTTTTTTTTTTAATAAATAGTTTTGTAATATCATAATTTACGTTGGTTAACAATGAAAATTATTTGTTGCGCTCCAAATACCTTATATAATCGTTTGTCATTATTTTTACATATACGACGATGTGCAAAATATTTTTATAAAGATAAGCTGAACAGTTAGCCTTGCTACATTCCAATATCATCTTTATCATTTAATATTTTAACAATCTCTCGATAGTTAATTACCTGCGTTGGCGTTTTCCGAAAGAAGCGAACATAATTTCGCTGCGAGATTCTCTATCATATCTATTAAAGACAATTTTTTAATAATTTACGTTTCCTCGATTGTTCACACAGTGTTTCAATAACAAAATACTTATGCTCCGATGTGCTCCTCTTTTTGATGCTTCTGAAAATTCTGGAATCTAAATTCTGACTTCGAGTCTTTCTTGTCGTCTGCTGCTTGCCGAGCGAAGCCGAATGATGCCGAATCAGTTCCGAATCATCATGAAAATTCGCCTTAATTGTTTCTGAAAGTCTCGAGGTCCGGTGAATCAACATCTGTCAGTCAAAATTAATCTGATAATTTCGTTGCTTCTACGTTGCGGTTTTACTTAAAACAGAAAAAAAAAAGAATTAGGTCAATCTGTTAAAAATTAAGCTAAACGTGATTAATCCATCTCGAATAGGAAGAACAAGTAGGAGCGGCCGGTCCTGAGAGTGTATGTTTACTTCTTCCTCTTTTCCATTCCATTCCTCTCTACTGAGAGTACTAACTCTATTTCTGAAACGTATTTTCTGCTTTTGAATCTGTCGATTCAGATTGTGATTAATTGTGATTACCGGTTACATCGAAGGAATACGATTTTCGAGGAAAAAATGGTTGCTGGACGTGCGTTGCATTTTGTATTCAAGATACCGGATCGCGGATTAACGGCGAAGTTTTATCGAGAGATTCTCGGGATGAAGGTAACTACAAGTTTCTTTTTTTTCCTTGTTTGTCACGCGATTCGATTTGTTGATTGTTGGATTATGTGTCTCTGCAGGTGTTGAGACACGAAGAATTTTCAGATGGATGCGAGGCCGCGTGTAACGGGTGAGTAATCACTCGTGACTTGTCATTGTGCAATAATTTCTTGACAATGCGTTTACTATTTATTTTCTATGCTTGAAACGAAAAAAAGAGAATTTGTATTTTTATATTAATTACTAACATAATATAAAATGTAACAATAAATATATATATTTATTGATTTATTTTTTTTTGTAATCATATATGATGTGTTTGCTTTTCAATTCTTCTAATATCAAATGGCTCCTTTCAACCTGTTGATATTTACACATTCAGAACTAATCTAACATAATCTACAATGTTATTTACAATACAATTTATTTTGTATTATATTTTTTTGTTATATTTTATGCTATATCTTTTTTTTGTTAGTGTATCAAATGCATCACATTCCTTATTCATATAAAACATTAAAATTTTCTAATATTGTAAATACATTTCTTTTACAGACCATATGCAAATCGTTGGAGCAAAACAATGATAGGATATGGCCCTGAGGATACACATTTTGTCATTGAGTTGACATATAATTATGGGATTAAAGAATATCAAACTGGAAACGATTTTAAAGCTATCACTATACGTTCGAAGGATGTGATTGAAAAAGCACGCGCAAATAATTGGCCAATACATGAAGAAAATGGAAAATTTGTAGTACAGGCACCTGGTGGATATAAATATTGCATTGTTAATGAACAACCTCCTACTAACAGTGGTAAATATAAAATCAGTCAGTCTATTTTTAACAATATTGATGCAACTAGTTTGAAGTTAAAATTATATAAATCAGTTTATGATATTACAGTAATAATAATTTATAGAATAATTTATAGAATAAAGAGTTATAAAATGGTTATGGAAAAAAAAACAATTATAATATCACATTTTTAGCAAACTATTATTTTTAAAAAATATATTGGTTGTTTCGAATAGATCCAGTAGAGAAAGTTACTCTATCTAGCTCCAATCTTGATCGTACCATTGCCTATTGGAAGGATATTTTGGGATTACAGATATTTGATAGAAAAGATAAAAGTGTATTGATGGGCTATAGTGAAGATCAAGCCAAACTTGAATTTGAAGATATTGGTGAGTATACACATGATATTTAATTTATTTTAATTGTTTATTAAATTTACAATTAGTATGATTAAGTATTTAATATGATTTGTTATTAATAAATTTTGTATATTAGGTACTGAAGTTAATCATGCAAAAGCATATGGACGTATCGCTTTCTCAGTACCGTTTTCAGAGCAACCAGCGATTCAGAAAGCTATTAAAGAAAGTGGGAATAAAATCTTGACTGATTTGATAACTTTAGATACACCAGAAAAAGCTTCTGTAAGAGTTATTATTCTTGCTGATCCAGTAAGTATTTTGCAACATTTGCAAATAAAACGCTTACAGTGCAGTTGCATTTTACAAATTTCATTGTGACTGTTTCCCAGGATGGGCACGAGATCTGTTTTGTAGATGATGAAGGATTTCGGCAACTCTCAGTTCCAGATTATCCGAGTGAAGAAATTTTAAATAGATATATTAAAAAGGAATCAACAGATGACCTGTAAAAAATTACTTCTACCGTTGAAATATTTGTAATTTAATAATATTATTGTAGGAGGAGTCTGGGAGACTTGATCATACAGGAGAGTTAAATCAGTTCAAATGTTTCGTTCAAATTTTGCGCCAAGCTTGTTAAGCCAAAATGCGGGTCATGTCATATGACATCATAGCTGTAACCATGATGTAAGAATACAAGGTGTGCCATTGCGCATAATGGCGATAGCAATACTGGAAACAACCAATCAAATTTTAGCCTCTATGCACTTTCCTGCATATAATAGCGCTGGCATGTTGGAATAACCAATCAAATTTTGGCCACAATTCACTCTCCTACTGCGCATCCTCGGAAATGGTATACCTTGTCTTCTTATTATGACTGTAATAGCAACCGATAATCGCTAAATGATGCAAAATTTGAACAAGTATATGAAATAGTTCAACTGCATTATTTGATTAAATCTCCCAGACTTCCCCTATATGTTGGAATGCTAATTGTAAAGAGATTAATACTTAAAACTTAAATGAAACAAGACATCTAAATAAAAATATGTAAATATATAAATAAAAAATGTTCTTATAGTTTTGCGAAAACAAACTTTACTTTTTGTATCAAATTGTATGGAATTATATGCCATATAAAATGTATGTCTTTATATTCCTTATCAAATTAAATTCTATTACATAAAAATCTAGCATCACATAAAGTTCTCTATTCAGTTGCAAATTTTATATGAGTAGAAAACTGTTTTTTTTTTAATCTTCGTAGAAATAAAAGATGCTGACGCTTAGACGTGAAATGGTAATTCTGTTAACGTTTACCAGCTGTAATTATATTGAAAGCATTTAATTGTATTAGTGAGTGGTCAACAATAACATAATCTTTTAACGTGTCTATATCATTGCCAAGTAAAACGCAATTACTAAGAAGATTGATAAACATAAAAAAAATATACATGTATTTATCATCTTATAGCCATCGAGAACGCCAGTGTCCTCAAAATAGTGTAAGACTATCCATATAATAGAGATGAAGATCCGAATTTTACTACTCCTCTTTCTCTTAACGTTTTTTTTAGCCAGTAAGTATATACGCAATAAAATTTTATGTAAAGTATTATTTTATATATTATTACATATACATCATTTTTCTTATGTAACATTACCCAAATTAAACTTTTACACATTATTATATTGATAATATTTTAAGTAATTTTTGATTATTTAATAATTTTTTATCTACTTTAAATTGACTTTTTAATGTCAGCAAAAAAAATTTTTCTTAAATTTATTAGACCTTAATCTTTATTTTCAGACTATGTAAATGCAGGGAAATTGGGGAAACTTGGAGGAGTCTCGCGAGGCATTCAACTCGCTTCTCGGGGGGGCTCGTCATCACTAGGTTCCGTTTTGTCAAAACTTTTTAGATCTAGTTCAAAGTCTAGTTCTAAATTGAACTATAGAAGCTCGCCAGGCAGTCATACAACGGGATCAAGACATTTCGGAAGTTCATCAGGTGGACACACGACAGGGTCAGACTTAACTGGCTATGGAAGTTTATCAGGGAGACGTACGATAGAATCAACTCCTTTTGGACATGCAATCAAGCCCTTGGGATCAAATCCGACTGGAACTATATCGAGTCAGTATACGATATGGTTATAATGAAAGGCAAGGTACTATTTATTCCAATCTTTCTGTAGTTATAGCAGATTTATATCTTTTACTCTTATTGTAGGTCAAACTTCGCATCAACAAAATAAAGATGCATCTTCGTATTTACAAACTAAAGGAGGAGATACTCCACGACCCTGTAAGTGCTACAGTAAACAGTAATCGTAATCGTTTATTTTTTTATTGAATGTTTAATATAAATATCTTTATTTTTGTAAAGCTCAAAGTAATTCCGGGCAATCTAATTGGCCATATCTAGCATCACATAATAATACAGGTATTATTAGCATTGATTATCTTGTTATTTACAGTTACAATACATTATTAGAAATAAAGAATTTTCAAATGTTATATTAGCTGAGATATTATCTCTAATATTTTGTTTCATGATTTCATTCGTTTATCTTTTTCTATTATATAAAAAGTAACATATTCTTTTTTTTAGGACGTTTATCAAGAGTAATTTCTTTTCTGGAAAGTTTTTCAGAAATTTTTCCTACGAGTAGAACATCAAGCTTTACAACGCAAAATAAAAATTCTACACGATATAGTCCATCAGCATCATCGACTAATCATTTATCGAAATCCACTGTGGTACCTTTACAAAATCATGGTATTACTTTTTACCATTTTCAATAAATTTATGCATTTAAATTTTTGAAATTTAAGAAATAATATTTGTCAATTATAATTATGACAGAAAATTCACGTAAATTAAAAGAATAAATGTTTTAGCAAATATAAACAATTTAAACATAATTAAAAATTAGCAGGTGTATATAATTTTCTTGCAGCTGCAACTTTTTTTGCCAAACAAGCGCGTAAAAAATTACTTCTACCGTTGAAGTATTTGCAATTTATTAATATTAAGTGTAGGAGGTGTCCGGGAGACTTGACCATACAGAAGAGTTACATCAGTTCAAATGTCTCGTTCAAATTTTGCGCCAAGCCGACATGCGGGTCATGTTGTCATATGACATCGTAGTGGTGGTATAGACCGCTAAACGGCACGAAATTTGAGTATTTGAAATAGTTTAATTATATTATATGAAACGAGTATTTGAAATAGTTCAATTATATTATATGGTCAAAACTCCCCCTAAATATTTTGGTGGAACACTAATTGTAAAGAGATTAATACTTTAGACTTAAGTGAAACAAGACATCTAAATAAAAACATGTAAATATGCAAATAAAAAATGTTTTCATAATTTTGTGAAAACAAGCTTTACTTTTTGCATCAAATTGTATGGAATTAAATGCCATATAACGTCTTTATATTTATTATCAAATTGAATTAAATTTTATTTTATAAAAATCTAGCATCACACAAAGTTCTCAATTCAGTTGTAAATTTTGTATGAGTAGGAAACTGAATTTTTGTAATCTTTTCGTAGAAATAGAAAATGCTGACGCTTAAACATAAAATGGTAATTCCATAGTACGAACGTTTATCAGCTGTAATTATATTGAAAGCGTTTAATTGTATTAGTGAGTGGTCAACAGGTCAATAACGTAATCTTTCAACGTGCCTATATCGTTACCAAGAAAGACGCAATTACTAAGAAGACTGATAAACGTAAAAAAATAATATGTATTTATCATCTTATAGCCTTCGAGCACGCCAGTGTCTTCAAATTAGTGTAAGACTATCGTCTCCATATAATAGAGATGAAGGTCCGAATTTTGCTATTTCTCTTTCTGTTAACGTTTCTTTTAGCCAGTGAGTATATACACAATAAAATTTTATATAAAATTACTTTATATATTATTGTATATAATCATTTTTTTGGATGTAACATTAAACTTTTGTGTAAGTGTTACATTATTATATTGATAATATTTTAAGTAATTTTTGATTGTCTAATAATTTTTTATCTACGTTAAGTCAACTTTTTAATATGTTAGCGAAAAAAAATAATTTTGCTTGGATTTGTTAAAACTTAATTTTTATTTTCAGACGATGTAAGTGCAGGAAGATCTGGATCCTCGCGAGGCTCGTCATCACGAAGTTCGTCATCACGAAGTTCATATTCTTCTTCGTCTAGACTTGGATCTAGTTCAAGCTCCAGTTCTAAACATGAAAGTTCATCAGGATCAAGACATTACGGATTCGGAAGTTCATCAGGTGGACACACGACAGGGTCAGGCTCGACTGGCCATGGAATTTCATCTAGTGGACACGTAACAGGATCAAGCTCTTTTGGACATGGAAGTTCATCGGGGGGACGCACAGGATCAAATCCAACCGGAACTACGTCGAGTCAGTATATGATTATTATGAAAGGCGAGGTATTATTTATTCCAATCTTTCTATGATTATAGCAGAATTATATCTTTTACTCTTATTGTAGGTCAAACTTCGCATCAACAAAATAAAGATGCATCTTCGACGTTTTTACAAGCTGAAGGAGGAGGCGCTACACGACCCTGTAAGTGCTACAGCAAATAGGAATTGTAACCGTTTTTCCATTCATTTTTTTACTGAACTATTCATTTTTTGTTGAATGTTTAATATAAATATTTTTGTTTCTGTAAAGCTCAAACTAATTCCGGGCAATCTAGTCGACCATCAGCACCACATGGCAATACAGGTATTATTAGGATTGATTATCTTGTTATTTACAGTTAAAATATATTATTAGAAAGAAAGAATAAATTATCAAATTTTATATTAGCTGAGATATTATTTCTCATCTGTTTTCACTCGTTTATCTTTTTTTGTTATATAAAAAATAATATATTCTTTTTCTATTAGGAACTTATCCTGGAAGTCATGGAACATCAGGCTTTACAACAGAGAGTAAACAAAATTCTGCTTCATATAATCCATCAGCACCATATAATCCATCAGCACCGTATAATCCATATAGTCCATCAGCACCGTCGACTAATCATTTGTCGAAATCCACTGTGGTACCATTGCAAAATCATGGTATATACTTTTTATCATTTTTATTAAATTTATGCATTTAAATTTTTGAAATTTAAGAAATAATATTTGTCAATTATAATTACTGATTATGACAGTAAATTAACGTAAACTAAAGAATAAATGTTTTAGCAAATATAAACAATTTAAGCATAATTAAAAATTAGCAGATGTATATAATTTTCTTGCAGCTCCAACTTCTTTTGGCCAACCAAGCGCGCCTTTTAACCCATCACAAGGAACTGCACTTAGTAATTCTCCATGGAGCAATCCTCATTTCAATCCGAGCCAATCTCACCCATCAGGTCCCACTTCTACTAACATTGGCTTCAAAGATCATCTGCGTCCAACTTCGATTCCTTCTGCACCTTACCCGCATCCTCCTTATCCTACTTCTGGTTTTAATCCTCCTCCATATACCAGTCATCCCTTCAGTCATTCGAATCAACCTCACGTACCTCATGTACCTTCCACGCACAATCCCAGTTACTCTTTTCCCAGTCAATCGTTTGGACATCCTTCCAGTTATCCAGCGCATATTCCGCCACCTGTACCAGGTACATTCGGAAATCCTTATTCTACACACCCCGTTGGCGGAACGTATGGCGCAGCTGGACACACTTATTATCCTCAACAACATGTTCTGGCGCAGCCGGCAGCGCAACCATATATACCTGGACAAACGGTCATAATGGTTCCTGGTCAACAAGACAGCGGCAGAGGCTTTGGTCAGATGGTGAAAGAAGCACTTGTGTTCTCTACAATCAACGCCGGTGTGAATAGGCTGATAAATCCGCATCAATATTACAGTAGTCCAAGCAGTGGTATCAGTCCAAGTAGTGGTACCAGTGAAACGCATATAACTTATAATAATCATTATTTTAATACAGTTCCTCCGGGTAGTACTTCTCCGGCTTCATCAAACATACTTCAAGGAAATGTTCCTGTTGCGTCCCCTGTCAATCCATATCCTGTAAACAATCCAGTTATTACTCCGGGTGTATCAATTCCTACAATTGTTAGCAACGGTAGCACAACATATCCGATTGGCAATTCTTCCATAAACACAGTGGGTACAGCTAACAATGTGGAAACTCCTTCAGTTTCTACTAGCAATATAGGGAATAATCAAGGAATGCCCAATCAAGGAACAGCTATTTATTCTCCGCAATATAAAATATCAGATGACGATCTATTAATGTTGACCGAAGAGTTATTCGTGAAACAAGAAGTTAACATGTCCAAGTATTTGACGTTACATCTTCAGAGCAAATCTGAAAACGTAACCGATGCAGCTAAAGGACCGTAAGTTTTGTGTTTAAATTAATCACAATGATTATTCTTGCCTTATTTACACATTATAGATCTTCTAGATTAATTTACGTGCAAGAAGAAGCATATGATTATCCAACTATCTTAGCTATTCGAGCTCTGTACGACAATTACGAACACAATTCTACTGTGAAAGAAACTCGTACAGCGGAAAAGCGAAAGAGAGAGGAATTTCTGTTAGACATGTTTGTGAATACGAATGTGATGGCTAGAACTATGCGATGGTTATCAGATCAAGGTTTCATCGATCCCTATGACTTCCAAAAGGACACTTTGCGGCGTATCTGGTTCAACACGTTTAATGGTGCTACATCAGGTTTTGAGCGAGTGTTCACATCTGAAAGGTACGGTACGGAGCTTCTTGGGGTGCAGGACTGGCTCTATTTTAATTATCAGGAATCGAAGAATCGTATTGATTACATGGGATACGTTGATACTATGAAGCTTGGCGACGTGAGTCATATTATATTATAATTATATCTATAGATGTGCAATGTATGTAAAATATATATATTATCGTGTCTTAATGTTATACATGAAAAGAATATAAAAATATATTGTACATTTGTAAAATTGGTTATAACAATTATTTGTTTTTTGCAGAGAGCTTCATTGGTGAAATTGAACTTCCAAATGGATGATATTATTAGACCAAACGCAACGATATTCGTGGGCACGCTTCCCGAACTTGAAATGGCTTTGTACACCATATGTTTTTATTCCAGGCCGAATAATTTATGTCCTGTTTCACTTGGCGGAAACAAGTTTAATATTTTCACGCATTCATTTAGATATTACGGACAAGATCTTATAGATCTTGCACTTCCTGTTTTCTAATTCTGTATCATATGAATAAATTCTCGGACGTGATAATGTAAATTATTAAAATACACAGTTTGAGCGTATTTTAACAGACAATATCAAATGTAAGAATGTGTGATTGGAATATATAAATTACTTTTTTTAAATTTTTATTCATTTAATGCGACAAATCTTGTTATAATAATAAGAAATATATGTATTGCAACTTATTTGGAAAATTTTTGCAGTCTTATAATAAACATAATAATTTTTTTTCTTATCTAATTCTTATATGATAAAAAATAATGTTATAATATTTAAAATTAAATAAACAATATTTCTATTTGTCATTATATATGTATGTAGAATTTGAGAATAATTGTAATTTTACATTGAAAAATACGATCGTTTTACTTTTACTTCAGTGATGTTCTCTTCAAGGACGCAAAGTTCAATTTTTTCTGAAATTTGTAATATAAAATTAGTTAGTAAAAAATATTTTTATACACAAAGCAATGTTGTTTCCAAGTAATATTAAATTTAATTCTCATTTCAAAAACACATTATTTTGAGATTTTATATTACAAAAAAAGATTTTTAATAAATAAACCTTGTAAAAAAATGAGCAAAAACAAAACATCATGAGTTTTTATTAAAGAGAGATCGGTCTGAAATTGTCTAAAAAAATTGTAGAGAAAGCGCGAGAAATCTAGAAAATACCATACATATATGGCTTTCTTTGAATATCTTTTAACTAATATAATCTAGGTTTTATAAAATTTTAATAGTTTAAAAAAATTGTGTTAATAAATGGAATATTATTAATTTAATGTTTTAAACTGAGAAGCGTTTAATCAAATAACTCGACCAATTACAGTTCGGTTACAGACGCATAGGGTCAGTGGAAAGAGAAAGCCTGCGAAGCATGAATCATTCAATGTTACGGGCGATGGTCACCGACGTCTAGGCCGTTCAGCATGAGGTCGAATGGTAGTAGTAGTCTGTGGACTGCGTGAGCAAACAGTGCGTGTCAGAGATCTTTTCGAGTTTCGAACTGATTGAAACAACAATTCGACAAAAGTGAAGCGAGCAAATAACGAATATGAGAATCAGGACGTGCCTGATCACCGTGATTGTGATTTTAATTATTTTTGGTAATGGCACATGTTATTTTTAAATAGATATTGATAGATTATAATTATTAAAGATTGTTAAAGTAATAGATGAAGTTTACATGTGAGAAATATCATCAGATTTACACAAGATGCTTTTATAAATTTGCATCAAATGCATTAATAAGTTCTCCGCTTAATCAATTTGTATTAAAATAATTTTGTTGAGTTTTACAGAAAATTCGATATTTAGAAGCTATGCGTTTTGCGAATTATCTCCGTGTGTATATCCATTCTTAGAATGTCAACGTTTTGTGAACATTCCAGTTCACTTCATCAGTCCGAGAAGTAGTTTACGAAACTTTGGTATTTCTCAAGAATGAATATAAACAGAGATAAGCCGTGAAATAACAAAGCTTCTATTATAGAAAATATCATGGAAACCTCCCAAGTATTAAAGGTCGATACTAATTATCTTAACAATCACCTTAAATTTTGTTAAACTTTACAATATGCTTACAAAATCTATTGTGAAATGCTCTAACAATGAAATAATATTTTAATTAATCGAGAATCAAATTTTTTAGTAAAAAAATTTTGTTGAAATTTTACAGAAAATTAATTGATGACTACGCTTCAAATAAAAAATCTGTTTAAGCAAATTTTCCTTGAAATCAAGTTACGTGTTAACACGGAAGCGTGGAAGTTCGCGGAAATTCATTCATTTCTAACTGTCTGTAATTCACGAATTACTAGCAATTGTGCATGGAAACAATTTCTAATTTAGTCAGAAAATTTGTTGTGTGCAATACAGATTGTGAATTTCAAAGAAACCAATTATTTCATCATTTAAAAAAACGATAAAGGATATGTTTAATTCATTAATAAACATGTTTGACTTGTGCAGTTATAAAATAAAAATAAACTATGACGTATGTGTATTATAGAGAGAGGAACGTAAATTGAACATATGTTGCATTTTTACGACTCATAAAATTGATAATTTTTAATTTGTTCTTTATTTCAAAATCTTGCAAAGCATCTTTGAAAATATATAAGAAAATAAAATGTATGGATATATAATGAATCAGCTGTTTAATTAGACTTATTAGACGGTAAAAGAATGGAGGAAACATTCTAAAGTCACGTAAGATTTACGTATAATGTTGATAAATTGACTAACAAATATAGACTGCGTAATAAGTGAAATCAGCAGAGCAAATTGCTCTTCCATCTTACTCATACGTCATGCCGTCAATGTGCTCCTCATATGGTATTATTCACTTGACAGCATTTACCATAATTGCATTACTGCGTTTATGATACTAAATTGGAGATTTTCATCGAAAGTCACGTACGGAAACTGTTTTAAGGTGCGTTTGTCAAATTTAATGTTGCATAAACAATAAAAAAAAATCGTAGAAATTTTCTCTTATGATTATAGTAGCTTCTTCAGAAGGATTGCAAAAAATTACATATAAACTTAAAAACGACATACATATATATGATTGTAAAGCTATATCGTTATCGAAATAATTATTAATAAAAATTGTCGTTTTCATTACCGAGAGAATTAAAAAAATGTAAATGAACTTGATTTTGAATATATATCTTTATCTTTCTCTCTTGTATAATGTGCGCACGAACTCTCAAAGGTATTCATCGTAATACATAATATTGAGCCAATGAGTGAACAGGCAATTGCCGCTACATTATATAATAATCTGTTGAAGAACAATAGGCTTGGCAATCTCTACCGGTGTCGAATCGCGAGAAATAAAAGAGGACACCAAGTTCTATATAGATAGCTTAATAAGCACTCAATCAACGTGTTTTATGACGCAGAAATCTATCTAACATCTCGATTCATTCTAATATGATCGTACTTTTAATAATTTTCACAGTAGAAAATAATTGAGAATATTCTGAAGTTTCATAATACATAAAAATTTGTTTGCATATCTGTGCATAAATTTAAATTACGAAAACTCTATCTTTAACTATATTTCGTTTCTCTTATCCTAAGTTACAATACTCTAACAATAAGTTATAATTCTCCTTAGTACTCTCAAGAATTTCCCTTCATGATCAAGTGGCATAAATGTCGATTTAATTTTTAATATTTAAGTACTGATATACGAAAAGGTATAAATCGAATTATGTGTAGTAATGATATTAATCATAGCTGACAATGAGACGAAAGACATGTAGTTAAATGTTGAAATCATTGAAATCATATAATAAATTGCATGTATAATATTGTGTTTACAGCGGACACAGATGGTCGTAAAACCAGTGGACGGAGGAGCGGTAGTAGTGGATGGGGCTCCTCCTCTTCTCGCCAGCAATCCTCTCGGCGAGGTACTTCTCACAGAACAACTCAACGGCCCTCACAGACAGGTATATAATATCCCAACATACAGCGCTTACAAAACGTTAATAAAGCGCTAAAAAAGCGTGTTATTTGCCATGCTATTTGGGGTTATATTTAGGCACATTTTATCATTACATATTTGTATTATTATTATTATCATCTATACGTTTTACTAGTATTATTATATCTCTATTGCATAATTATTATTTTTTAAATACTGATGAGATTGCATTCGTCAGTTTAAATATATTGCATCATGTTGCACAATATATATATTGTTAGCAATGAAAAAAGAAAACTCCGTATCGCCCCGATTCGGAAAAGCTATAATCGTAAAAGATCATCGTTTAAGATACTTTTCACAACTGTTTAATGTGGAATTGCGCCGTGGTTTACAAATGTTTATGTATCTACGTATCAGTATCTCTTACAAATTCGATGAGTCACTGCTTCATATAGGTAATAACCTTCTACGGCTTCGCATGTTTCATTCTCTAATAACATCATGAATCCCGCTATGCAGGCTCAAATCCAAGTAAAATAGGATGGAACGTACCACAGAACGCTAACAATAAAGCATCCGGGAGTTCCGGGACCAGCAATGTCAAACCTCCAGTATCTGAACAAGCTTCCAAGACTAGCGCGACGAATGTGCAATCAGGATATCCGGCTGCGAACGCACCACCATATACTCCATCGGGTATATTAATTATTTTCTTCCATATCTTAAAATAGGGAATGAAATTAACGTACCGACAGTTTAAATCTCGATAAGACACTCGAAAATAAAATATCTACGTCTTTTTGCATTTATAATATGGGAGCTATTAAAATTGCTAAAATTATATCTAATAAAATATTTTTTTAAGTTTTAAAGTTGCAATATTTCTCCTTGTAAAATCTTGATTTAAGATTAAAAATTTCATCTGTATTAAGGTTTAAAGTCCCTTATAAAATATCAATTCCCGAACAGCACTTTTTATTTAAGGGATATCCTGGGAACATTCTTAAGACATAGAGACGTCTTCAGGGCATCCCTTTGAGGATCTGTGCTGCGTGGGTTTCTTCGTATAATTGCATAAAGATCGTAATTTTCATAGAATTTATAATTCTAATCTTTCCACGCGATTTCTAGGCGGATATCCTCGGCAACCCGCCAGCAATCCTTATGGCGGCACGGGTCACAACCAGGGCTACCCGTCCTATAACGCCAATCCTTCGTATCCCGGTTACGGTGGGCACTCACCGTATGGCCAGGCTTACAATCCGTCTATGCACCATAACGCGCCACCAGCCTACAGTCCTTACGGTGGGCAGTCCTACGGCGGTTACGGTGGACAGCAATCGTTCGGTCAACCGTCCTATGCCCAGCCATCCTACGTTCAACCGGCTATCGCACAAGCGCCGGCACTCACCGTCCTGCAACCGAGCCGACCTGGTATCGGCCAGCTGGCCAAGGAAGCGCTGGTTTACTCCAGTGTGAGCGCGGGCGTGAGCGCGGCTGTGAACAGATTACTACCGGGTGGCATTTATGGCAGAAGTCCGGGATACGGCAACAGCGACGGCGCCGGTGGTGGTAGCCGCACCGAGATTACATACAATAATTATTATTACAATCAGTCGAATCCGACTAATGGGGAAGCACCGGCTGCGCCTGCGAATAATAATGGTGCTCCTGCCGCCGCCGCCGCCGCTGT